CAGCAGTAGTCCAGCAGGCTGGATAGAGTGGTTCCATGGGCCATATATTTAACACCCCTGCTGTATCAGGTCATCATATTAGTGATTGCTTCTTTAGGATATTGCAAGAGAAAAACAGGGGTTTTTTGCCCAGTTTGTTGGGAAGATAGGAAACTTGCTTGGTGTCCAACACCAGCCCTCCCAGAGCAGCCTGCTGTCCCACCTGAGGCTCCTGTGACACGTTTCAATTCCAACGTATTGCTGTCTAAGCCTGGTGTGTAAATGACCTTGGTGCATCTGCTTCGATGGGCTGTCCTGGACTAGTCAGCACCACGCCAAACCAGCCATCTGCTTTCAGGCCTGCCTCTTGGCTTTGGCTAAATCGATCCATGGAGTTGGGCCAAGAGCTAGAACCATTTGTGCAACTTAAATGGCTGCTCGAGCACTGAGTGCTGCCCGAGCACTTGCTTTACTTATGAAAGCAAGATATCTGATCTTAAACACATCCAATGACTGGGGATTGAGCATTGCCTGAAATGACTCTTAGAAACTACTCAGGCAGTTGGAATGGTAAATTTCCTTAGTTCCAGCAAAACTAACTTAATGGTTAGAGTACGGATGAGGTGGCTAAAGGTGCAGGTCATTCTGTAGTTTTTACTAGTCACAGAGTGCTGAGTGCATGCAATTTCTGCATTTCAGACTGTAATCTCAGTGGGTTGGAGGACCTTGTGGTAGAAAAATAAAATTTGTTGGGGCTAACATCAGTCAAAATTTTGACATGTGTTAGGGAAGATGGTCTGTGTTGTAGGATGTATGTATGTATCCATCCATCTAGCCACATGTCAAACTAAAGACCTTTTTTAATGGTTTCCTCCTCTCAATGTATACCAAACCCTGTTAAAGTCAATATAAAACAGTGTCCAAGTGCAGTGTATTGGTTGAAGTGGCAAGTAAATTGTGGACATAATAAGATATTTCAGAAGAACTCTTACATAAGTCATGGACCCTCTCTTTAAAAGAAGAGGTATTATTGACTGACTTCACCTTGAAAATGACGCCTGTTTTGTCTACTGAAACAAGAATTGTTCTGTTAAGACAGGTGTACCAGTGATAGAAATCGATGCTTTATTGTTTTAGTTATAATTCCATAGCTCAGAAAGGGGATTAGGCTGTATGAAGAAAGTGATTAAGGTCCAACATAACAAAAGAATCATCTTCGGCTGTGCTTTGATTGACATTACATTTATAGCAGGTAAGAATGGAAAAATTGAGATGTCTTAAGCTTTTAGTCTATTTGTCCAGTGATTTTTTTTTTTTAATTATTATTATTTTTAACTGTGCTACAGTTATAAAAGGTATGTGTATGCTGTTGCATATACTTCTCTGACATAAAATTTGGATTGTTAACCCCACCAAGTCTTATCTAGTAAATGTCACTTTGGGTTTGTGAGATTCAGTAACACATTATAATACGAGTAACGTGTTGAAGTGTTTCCCAAAAGCATCCAACTTGGGCTAGCCTCAGAAACAACAACCTGATGAATTATTTCTGAATCTTAAATTTTCTGAGCAACAGGCCAATGAACTCTGTAGAAAAAAATTCCTCATCCCCATTCTTTGTTTGTGTGGAACTACAAGTTAAATTATTTTCTTTTTTTTAATTAAGATCAAAATAGAGAGAGTTCTTGGAGTTCAGGGTCCAACAAAATGAAAAATATTTGTATGTGAAAATAATACATGGTGAGTATAGTAAAGCAGCAAATACAATACCATAAGGCAGTGTGGAACCAACTTTTTTGGCAGGTGTGCCACAAATTAGCCACCTACTCTCCCCAAATGTCACAACATTCCTCTTCCTGTACCAAATATCGCTTTCTGCCCTGTGCTCCCTGCCTGATCTCCTGCTCTGTTTCCTGCCCCGTCTGCTGCTGTGCTGCTTGTCCCCTCCCTGATCTGTGGTATGTCACTCACAGAGGCTGAACTCATTACTTATTGCACTCATCCCACAGGTTTCCCACTCCTGCCATATGGATTCAACCTTGGGAGTTAAAGGAGTCAACTTTTCTGACCCAACTGGATCCTGCATGCACTTGTAGCAAAAGAAATCTTTTGCCCTGCTCAGTGATTTGTTGACAGGTAGTTAAGTTTATCTAAACTTCCAACATTTGTTATTGTTGGATTTTGGTACTAGCATTTCTTTTATGAATGGGAACAAATGATTCCCTTCCTAAAATTACTATTTTTTTTTTTTTAGGCTGTTTACTGTCCCAGGAAGGTAATCCTGTCTGGCTTATATTCAGACAATACTTTGTAATCAAAAGAATTAAAACTTAAGTTCTTGCTTAAAATGTATTAAGTTCAGCAGAAATGTTTCAGGCCATTAGAGTTGTGTTCCCCTTCTCCTTGAGTCTTATTGGAAGTCCAGGGTACAGATCTATACACTGTACTCCCTTTTAAGTGTGTAACTTCAACTGAAAAAGCTTATCCCTTATCCAAACTTAACACACACAATCAAGATTTGTTAAGTATAATACCATGAAACTGCTTAGGTCCTCTCACTATCAAGGCTTGTAATAACAGCCCTTTGATATTTTCTTCTTCACTCTTTCTGGCTTAGTTAAAGGGTGTACAATTAGTTGCAAAATAAACTGTTACAGATAGTATGTAGTTAACTGGGGTGTGGTTGGTTTCAAAGTAGAAGGGTTTCCAGATACTTTCACTTAAGGAGCTTTGTGAACGTACCTAATTAGGTAGTTAGCATAGAATCAGGGTAAAATAGCCTCAAGTTTTAACATAGCTCCGATGCCGTGTATACTTGATTTAAGTTACTTTTCTTTCCAGTCTTTGCACATAAGTATTTGCTATATTGGATGTTTTTTTCAAATGCAGGTGCATTTATTTTGTGTTCTGAACAAAAGTTCCTGATTAATTACTTTTGGTTTCAGAGTTCTTGCAGGTAGAGTAGGAATATTGATTTTCTTCTTTTGGTGGGGAGGGGGTAGGGGAACTAGTGCATTCATTCAAAGGTGATAAATCATACAAAAGTAGAACAGGGTGGGACCTCAGGAGATCATATACTTCAACCCTCTGTTCAAAGATCATCCTTATCTAAGCTACTGTTTACAAGTGTCCATCTAGCCAATTTCAAACAAAACTGCACAAACAGCCCTCTTGTGCAACTACCAGTCACAGTGCCCCAAAACATCAAGAATGGACTTGTCACAGGTAAAGCAGGGGGACAAGGGCACAGTCAGTGTCCTCCCACTGCAAGAACAGGAAGTAATTAAATACACTTGAGAGATCTAAGGAAAAGGACAGTCTTCCTTCTCCTTTCCCCACCCCCTCTCCCATAAAGGAAGGCACCCCACCCCCCTCCTCCCACAGTCCATCTTGATCTGTCTGGAGTAAAATTCCTTTCTGATCCTAAATATGGCAGTTGGTTTGGCCCTCTGCAGAGGACCGAGACCCAATAACTAGGAACCTTCAGGCTTAAGTCCCAGCAAGATAATAGGCACGTACATCCCAGGCAAAACCTCAAAAATCAAAAGCCGACACCCAGTGCTTCTGATGAAGGTGAAAAAATCTACTGACACTTGCAGCAGCCAAAGTGGAAATAATTCCTTCTCAGCCCCATGTAGCACCTGGCAAAGCCCCAAAGCCTGAGAAAACCAATTATCCTCCATTCTGTATTGCAACCTGTGAATTATAAACATAACTGCACATATCACACTCTAACTGGAGGGCCAGTCATAGAAAATTAGGGTTGGAAGTGACCTTAGGAGGTCATCTCGTCCAACCTCTTGCTCAAGCCAAGACAATCCCCAGCTATATCATCTTAGCCAAAGATTTGTCTAGCTGGGTCTTAAACATCTCCAAGAATAGAGATTCCACCACCTCCCTGGGTAACCTGTTGCAGCGTTTTAAAACCCTCCTAGTAAGAAAATGCATCCTACTATCTAGTGTAAAATTCCCTTGCTGCAACTTGAGACGGTTGCTCCTTGTTTTGCCATCTGCCACCACTGAGAACAGTCTAGCTCCATCCTCTTTCGAACCCCCCTTCAGGTAGTTGAAGGCTTCTATTAAATCCCCCCCTCAGTCTCCTCTTCTAAATGAAATAAGGCCAGTTCCCTCAGTCTTTTTTCATAAGTCATGTCACCTAGCCCCCTCACCATTTTTGTTGCCCTCTGATGCACTGTCTCCAATTTGTCCGCATCCTTTCTGTAGTAGGGGGCCCAAAACAGAACACGGTACTCTAGACGTGGCCTCACCAGTGCTGAAAAGAGGGGAATAATCACTTCCTTTGACCTGCTGGCAGCACTCCTACTGATGCAGCCCAGTATAACACTAGCCTTCTTTGCAACAAGGGCACACTTCTGGCTCATATTCAGTTTATTGTCCACTGTAACCCCCAGGTCTGTTTCTGCAGAGCTGCTGTCCAGCCAGTCAACCCCCAGCATGTACTGGTACATGGAATTGTTCTGGCCTAAGTGCAGGACTTTGCATTTGTCCTTGTTGAACCTCATGAGATTTCTTTTGATCCAGTCCTTCAATTTGTCTACATCACTCTGAATCCTAGCCCTACCCTCCAGCATGTCTACTACCCCCCCACAGCTTGATGTCATCTGCAAAATTGCTGAGGATGCACTCTATGCCATCTTCTTGGTCGTTGATGAAGGCACTGAACAGGACTGACCCCTGGGGCACTCCACTTGATGCTGGCTGCTAACTACATATTGAGCCACTGATTACCAGGGATCCTGGCTTCCCTGATAAAAATAGCAAATTCTCTGATTAAAACCCCCAAAATCCATGATTAAAATTAAAGCCCCCCCACCCACACACACACATTCCCAATGGCCCTGCTGGTGCCCCTCACCCCCTGCAGGGGTGGGCGCACAGACCCATACCCACACACACCCACACCCCCAACAGGTAAGTGTGTATGGGGGGGAAGGGAAGGGCCAGATATAGTGCATATGGGGGAGCAAATTGAGAATGGGGGAAGGGTGTTTGTGTCTGTGCGTGCTCCCAGGAGCAGGGCCAGGGGGGCAAGGGCAGCGCAGCTCCTCTGTGGGCTGCACATAAGCTGTCTGGCATGCGGGGGGAGGAGGGGGCGGCTCACATGTGACTTCCACCACCACTGCTGCTGCCATGCCCTGTGCTACCTTCCCGTGGCTGGCCACACAGCTCTGTGGGCACAGGTTCATGGCTGCACGGCTTCGCAGGTAAGTGGCACGGGGCACGGCTGTGGTGGTGATGGCGGCCACTGCGTGCAAGCCCCCACCTCTGGCCGGACGGGTGGCTTGTGTGCGGCCTGCAGAAGGGCACCGCTGCCCTATACCACTTGCCTGTGGAGCCATGTGACCACAGAGCTGTGCCTGCAGAGTTGTGCCTGTGGAGCTGTTCAGCTGGCAGCAGGAAGACAGCGTGGGGTGCGGTGGTGGTGGCTGCCACATGCGAGGCCCTCCACTCTCCCTCCCCAGTGCTGCCTTCCCTGTCACTGCCCTGCCCTGTGTAGCCTTCCTGCAGCCGGCCGCACGGCTCCGCAGGCAAGTGGTGCAGGGTGTGGCGGCAGCCGCTCCAAGCCTGCTTTGGTTCCACATGCCGCTGGCCAGGCAGCCACTCCAGGGTTTTCCCCAGTACCTCCCTGCTTGCTGCTGGAGTACCCAGCTGGTTGCATGTGGACTGCGAGCGGCGCTATTGGTTCTTAAGGGAAGCTGCACGTAGAGGCTCTGAGGCCAATGGCGCCGCTGACAGTTTATGTGGACCTGGCCAGGCACTCCAGGGCTTCCCCCAACTGCCCCACTCTCTTAGTCCCCTGCAAACCCCACTTACCTAACCTTGCAGGCTCGAGAAGGAAAGGGAGCCTGAGCCAAGCCTTGGGACTAACTAAAAGTCTCAGGCCCTGCCCTTCTCCCCCCCCCCCCCCCCCCCCCCCCCCCCCCGGCCAGCTGGGGGTTTCCTGCCCATTTTGCAATCAGCTCTTGCAGGCTGGAACTCTGCCTGCCTGCAGATGTCTTTGCAAAAGGGGAAATCCTCAGCTTTCTCTGCTAAAAGGTAAAATCCACATTTTCTCTGATAACAATGGGATATCTGTGGTTTTCTGTTTTTCCATGGGAAAGGGAAAACACAGATCCCTGCTTACTATCCGGATTACCACCAGTTTTCTCTCCATCTTACAATATATTCATCCAGCCTGTACTTCCTTAGCTTGCCTGCAAGAATGTTGTGAGAGGCCATATCAAAAGCTCTGCTAAAATCAAGGTATATTATATCCTCAGTCACCTCGTCATAAAAGGCAATCAGGTTTGTTAGGCATGACTTGACTTTGGTGAATCCATGCTGACTGTTCCTAATCACATTCTTCTCCTCCAAGTGCTTTGAGATAGATTCCTTGAGGATCTGTTAGCACCATGAATATAACACCCCCAACCAATACTATAATTCACTACTTTATAAACGGGTGCAAATTTAAAGCATAAGATATAACAGCCTACCGTAGCAGATCTGCTCTATACTTTTTCCAGGGACTGAGGTGAGGCTGACTGGTCCGTAGTTCCCTGGATCTTCCTTTTTCCTGTTCTTAAATATGGGCACTGTTTGCCCTTTTCCAGTCACCCAGGACCTCTCCTGATTGCCATGAGTTTTCAGAGATCATGGGTAGTGGCTCTGCAGTCTCATCAGCCAACTCCCTCAGCATCCTCGGGTGCATCGCATCCGGCCCCATGGACTCGTATGTCCAGCTTTTCTAAATAGTCCCAAACCTGTTCTTTTGCCACTGGTGACTACTCACCTCCTCCCCAACTGTGCTGCCTGTTGCTGTGGTCTGGGAGCTGAACTTGCCTGCAAAGACTGAGGAGAAGGCATTGAGCGCTTCAGCCTTTTCTGGGCTGAAACCTGTCACAAGATTTCCTCCCCCATTCAGTAAGGGACCCACACTTTCCCTGATCCGCCTCTTGCTACCAACATACTTGTAGAAACCCTTCATGTCCTTTGTTAGCTGCAACTCCAATTATGCTTTGGCCTTCCTGACTTCATCCCTGCATGCCCAAGCAATGCTGTTATACTCATCCCTATTTATTTGTCCAAATTTCCACTTCTTATAAGCTTCCTTTTTGTGACTTAGTTTACTGAAG